ACAGTTGCAATGATCACAGATGTACAGGGACAAATAGAAAAGGCACACTAAGTAACACTTCAATAAACCAATTGCCACAGTGTGCCTTTATACGCGAGCAGAAGGCAAAAATCCTCTTCATATTACAAAGGCATTGGGTTTATTAGCATTTAATCAAAATGCTCACCAAGAACAGTTATTAAAGCAGAGAGATCTGCACAGGCAGGCATTAGCAAGGCATCTGTGCTGCCACGCTGGCACAGTGACTCATCAACGCTCCACAACACAACCTCCTGCAGGTCTGAAGGCAGCTTTTGCCAACCCCCACCCATGGCAGCCTGATGCACACAGTGTTCGTGTCACAAGGTGGAAAATGCGGGTGGGGGTGAGGGGTTTGGAGGACCTCTTTTAGGCACGAGGGGGCCACGTTTAGGACAGCATGCGACACCACGTGAAACCAAGGGAATGAACCCCTACACAGAAACTGAAGTAAGTGCTGTGTGTGTGTGTGTGTGTTCTGGAAGTTAAAAAGCTGGTTTATTTTTCAAATTTCTTTTGCTAAAATTACTGATATCTTCCTATATTTTCAGCTATTTTTTATTGTCAAATACAGCTCAAGTACACGATGAAAATAAGGCTTCTCTTAAACTGCAAAGTATCTAGTAATTCAAGCTCAGAAGAAAGAAGATGTGCAATCACTTGGAATAATGATGTGTAGCTTTTACTGTGTGTTATTTCAGGTTTAGTCAAACAGAAGGCAATTCATCCGAGTGAATAAAACTGTTGAATCTATTGTGGATGGTTACTGAAACTATGGTAGGTACTTTGGTTTCCCAAGAAGTCGCCGGGAAGGATGGCACAGACGTTATGTGGGACGCCCTGCCTGGCACAACCCTCGCTTTTCTCCAGGCTTTGGCTCTGGCAATACACATGGTTGTGACCACTGATATTGGGTGTGTGTTTCCTTAATAACCTCAGTTTAATCTATAGTATGATTTTTTTTTTTTTTTTTTAAATGGCAGAGAGGTTACACACTACGATAGGGACCTTTTTTTATGTCAATGTTTTTCTCAACTTGATATATGTGAGAAAAGGCTATTAAAATGTATGCAAAACAGAGGTAAGTGTTATTGAGTAGGCAGTCAGCGGTATACACTAGATGAGAACACCCAGACTGAATGAGGTCAATAGAAGTGACAGTATACGTAGGCAGAAGAGTGCATCACATATTACTGTCCACTTAGCCTGCTCTTATCCCTGCTCAAACACGCCATCCCTGCACCCCCCTCCCGTCTTATTCTTGCCTCCTCTCCCACCTGGTGAGGCAGTTATGCAACACCAACAGTTCCAATCAGGGATCCTTTCTGTGTTGATTACTCCAAACACACTGAAAGATAAAATAAGAAGAAGAAGAAGAAGAAAAAAAAAAGAACACAAGTAGATGTGTTTTAACAGAAACAAATGGTTCAATCCTCAGAGCCTAAGAGCTAGTAGCCTTAAAATACAATGCATCATCTGACGTATCAAGCAGATGATCACACGGCAGCCATCTCACTGGAATGATCACTGGGCCTGCAGCATTTTAATGAGCCACCGAGATGGTTCAAATATTATTTCACTAATATCTTGTTTATTAACACTACAACTCTAAATATATCCCAAGACTAGCTGAGTCATCCCAGATAACCAACGTCAATGCAGTAAAATTCTTCCGTTCCCCTGCCTCCTGGTTAGGTTGAGCTTTGAAGATGCCACGCAAAAACAACAAAGAAAAATCAGCGACTAGTGAATTGACTTTTTTCCCTTTTTTTGTCAATGGAAGGTGGGAGGTGAGACAAATTAAATGGAAGACATCAGAAAAGAAAAAGGAAATGTCTGGGGAGTGGTGTTTACCGATGCATTTTTTTTTTTTGCCCCTGCTCAGAATTCTATGCTGCTGTTTTGGTCCCACGCTGGGAACGGGAGCAGTGTCTGTCAGAGATTAACACTACACAGAGTGTGAGGAAGGGAGAAGGACGAGAGAGGGATAAAGGAAGACAGAGCTGATAAACACAAAAGTCTTCTTTTTATTTTTTTTAAACAAGGGGAATCAGAAAGCGCGAGAAATCTTTTTCTCTTTTTTTTTAAAGAAAACAACTGAGAGACACAGCGGCAAATCTGTGACGATGGTGGCAGCGGTAGTTGTAGTGAGGGGGTAAATAGACTAAGATGGAAGCCAAGGCCTCTCCCCTCACTGGGTGCCACATTAATTATGCATGTCTGTATCAAGAGAAATTAAAACATAGCCGTGTAGCACTTTAAAGATAAATTGAGGAAAGGAGGGGGTAGAGGGAAATGGGCGTTAAGGAGAGAAAACGCTGGGAGCAAATGTCAGGCAAAGATTTCAAACTGGACGCTGAAGACAAGAAAGGATTTATTTTATTTCTTGAAAGGGGACCAGAACAGTGGTACAACAGAAAAAAAGAGACCGAGAGCACTGCGTGCTCACTCCAGCAACTAAACTCAATTTCAAGGCCACAAAGAGAAAGAAATAGCTAATTAGAGCAAAAAACGGAGGTGTCGGAGTGGGAGAACGTAGTGGCCACTGAGTCAACATATCGTTAGCTCAACAAAGCCCTAGAAAACTAAAATTGGCTGTCGAGCAGCGTAAGCAGGAAAAATATTTTATGAATGCAAATGACTGCGCCACCGAGACCCAAAATCAAATGGTATTCACGTGAGGCCACCTTAGGAGGAGCCTCAAAAGCCGCTGCAATCAGATGCTATTCAGAGATGAACCAACAGCAGAATCTCATGCTAATGAAATCAAATGATCCACATTCACGTTGGAGTGAGACACACCTTAATAATCAGTTTCATTTAGACTCGCTGCGATCTGCAGGGATGGGAAAGACGGAGAAAAAGATGGATTCAAGGGCGAGGACCAGTTCTTCGTTCTGTCTATCATCGGTTTAATTCTGTAGCTACTCACTTGCCTCAATAAAGCGACTACATTTCCTGTCACCTCTTCATTCCAGCTTTCTCTCACATGTGTGTTCTCTTACAGCTACATGTGCACTTGAGCCAATTTGTTCAGCGAAATGTAAAGATTTTTTTCCCCTCAAGGTATTCAAGAGACATCATGCGTGTCTCTTCATGCGTCATTAAAATACTTTTCTACTGAGTGATTCATCATCTACTAACTTTCTTTCTAATAAGTGACAGCTTACGTATGTGTGAATGCTTAACTCTATTGTTAGCTAATTGAATGTGTCCCTCTCAAGAGTTTGACTGTGTTTGTGTTCATATTAGCCCAAACAGGAGGTCGGTGCAGCCAGCCAAACGGCCGGCCCCCACACTGGGCTCGAGACTCATTATATGGCTCGGTCTTTCCTGCTAACTCCCACCTACCTGTAAAAAACTTGCTGACACCACCAATGACTGGCAAGGGAGAAAATGTGTGTCAGAGTGTGTGCATGAGCTTGTATGTATGGATGGATGAGGTTATGTACATGATGGCAAATCCTCAATTCAATAGTCAAAAAAGTCAATTTTTTTTCCCAACCAAAATAAGCATTTCATGTCTTAAAACAGATTTGATAGGCAGCTGACTTTGGCATCATTTGGGCATACAAATGTCCACAGTGTCAATGAACCAGATGCGCGCACACACACACACACACACACACACACACACACACGGTTGGACAGAGAGTGCAGGAAAGCACCAAAACAGCACACCTGCACTGCAGCTTGATGGTAAAAATGTTCAGATGTGGGGAGTTTAAAAAAGAAAGGGAGAAAAAAAAGTGCCATAAGGATATGTGAACGAGGTTAAAAACTCTATTTTCATTCCAGGGGGACTTTAATTTAATCTGTAAAGAAAACTTAATCTCCAAAGACGGTGTGCCTCTTGTAGATTTAATCATATATGCATGAGAGTGTATGCATGCATCTGTAAAAACAATAAAAATTCAGATCATAAACCTGCTCCTCGACATCTGCGCTTCTATTATCAAATTCCCCAGTTGTTTGCATCACTGTTTCAACAGTCCAGGCGTTCTGAAAAATCTAGGTTTCTCAAACGCATACAAACACACACATGGGTCCACCTGTGACGGTGGCTACTGGCTCCATTTTCATTACAATTAAACATCAGAGGACAGTGGAGTTAACCACCCCACGCAAAAAAAACCCTTTAAGACTGAGATAAGAATGGAGAGGAGTAGTTTAAAAAAAACAGAGGAGAGACTGTGTGTGTGTGTGTGTGTGTGTGTCCTGGATAAGTGGTGGCAGGATTATAGCTAGTTCCATCATGGCTTTGGTCCGTTCACTGCCTCCTATAAAAACCTATTAGCATGTGAATGAAGAGGCACACAGTGGATGGAGTTTTCTAAAGCCCAGGAGCACTGATCGACTATCAGGTGAGTTTTCCGTAAACTGGAATAAGCACTGGAGGATGGTGTGTGTGTGTGTGTGTGTGTGTGTGTGTGTGTGTGTGTGTGTGTGTGTGTGTGTGTGTGTGTGTGTGTGTGTGTGTGTGTGTGTAGGTGCTTCTGAGGGTAGTGGATTGGGATTGTGTCCACTTCTGTCAAAATTCTTGTTGAGATTTGCCAACACTTTAATGCACTTGTAATAAAGCTCATTTGGGAGTAAACAATTTAATCAGCTTATTAAAGCTAGTGGCCCTATCTATGGACAAACTGCCTTCATATTAGGTTTGACGGAAGGAAGGAAAAACTTGGATTTTTCAATAGCAGAATTCAGCTAAAAGAGCTGCTCTCCCATCTGCTGTTTAAAGCACAACACACATTCTTCTCACATCTCTGAACCAAAATGATCTTATGTTCAAAGTAAAGTAAAACTAAAGTGAGTGTGAAACTAAAAGGCTGCAAAGTGGATACTGAAACTCAGACTGTGAATAAGAGAGCGAAACAGAGGAAGTTAAGCGCCAGAACAGCAGAATATCAAAAGTGCCCAACATGGAGCTGGGCTTTGAAACAATAAGAACTGGGGCCAAAATGTTCCACTTCATTGCTTACCTCCCTTTGCAGCACCAGCTCTTTGGTGAACAGCATGGCCTCGTCACTAAAGGGTTCAGCCACCTGTACGCCTCCGGGCGTATTCCGGGAACTGCGTGGACATTCAATACCTGGCCAAAGACAAAACAGTTGCAGGAGTTAAAGGTGAGCACAGCTGCTACTCAAAAGAACAGCAAGATGCCCAAAATTGGTTTAACATTATTTGGTTTGCAGAGCCAGAACAATAAAAAAAAAAAAGCATGACTGAGTCAAATTATCATTTGGAGGGGAAAAAAAAGAAGAAAAACCCCTCAAATTACATCCATATTTTCCAGGTGATCCTGACAGCTTAGATCACATTAAGCACGTTCCTCGTCCCTCTTAAAAGGTCAAAAATTGTTTGGCCGCTCAGTTGTACAAATGCACGTCAGAGGCAAAACAGAGATTAACCAGTGACACTATGATCTGCGCTAAACGGATAATTGGTTGTCAGAGGTCATACCTGAGTGCATGAAGCACTTCTGTAAAAAAAAAAAAAACATTTAAACTAAAAGGTGGTCTAAATAAATTTTTGTCTTTGGATCCTATGGCATGAACTTTGGTATATTTTCAAAGGCTTCTTTGTTGTTGTTTTTTAAATAGAAGAGAGATGGGAACGAATAAGCCTGAGAGAAGAGGTGAAGGGAAAGAGGAAAGAGCAGGTATAAAGGTGCTTGTACTGTAGAATATCTACATCAACCAGTATGAAACTAAAAAGATATGTATGCATGCAACAGAGAACAGAGAATTTATGTATTTAAAGGTGCCCCAGAAATGGCCTTCTGTTCATGAATGTATGCGAGGATCTTAGTCTTATAAAAGAGGCTCGGTTCACATACTGAATTATACATGTATAACCTGTACTGGAGAAGATATGTTTCATTGACTGAGATGCCTCCTCCTCCTTTTATTCCCTTTCATACATGATGACGTGAACGCTCATGGAATCTCTTTCAGATGAAGATTCAAATGGAAACGGTGAATATAAAAACACAACAGCTTTATTTATTTATTTTCGTATTCGTTTGCATCCAGTTTTCTCCAAATACTTCAATTAATAAGCAATTAGTGTCACTTAACCACTAAAACAAGCAGGTTGGTGCTCTATTGTTTTATGCAGAGTAGCCTAATGATAGATTCGGTTGGGAGTTCAACCCTCGAGCGCTGTGCTAATAAAGCAACAGCTCTCTCTCCTACGGTCTTTTCTTCCCTCTTTGACTCAAGGTTTAATTTAATGAGCTTCACCCGAGTGACAGATATACTGCCTCGGGATGGACTCACAAATACATGACAGAAGAGTAAAGTCAGATTTGCTAGGGAATCCTGGTGACTTAGTGCTCAGCGTTGGCCATCTCCCTCTAATACTATCCTGGGATTTGAATCTCACTCCTGGTCCTCATAAGTTTTATTTATGGTCTCCTTGTGTTCCCTTGGAGAACTTCTGAATGATGATGTATTTCTATAAGAGGCATTTGAGATTCGCAGAGGTATATGCTGCTGAGATTGTGTGCAAAACTGAAGGGGAAAAAAGTGTGTATGGAACAGAAAAGCTCATGTGTGTTAGATTAAGGGGGGAATTGCATACGGTGAATAAAGCCTTCAAATTTAAAGATTTATTATATCCATTTTTTATAAATGTTTTCAAATTCATATATACAAAAATGCTTTATTTCAGAGACTATTTGTTTTTAAATATGCAATCAGCAGCCACTTTATTAGGTATACCTGCTTAAAAGCTAGTTAATATAAATATGTAGTTAACGTATTTCTTGATGCAGACACGGTCAAGAAAGGGGATTTAAGTGACTTTGAACGTGACATGGTTGTTGGTGCCAGATTAGCTTGTATGAGTATTTCAATAGATAGCTTTGAGCTTATAAGAAAACAAAAGTAAGTGCAATAACTACTTGTTACAGCCAAGGTAGGCAGAAGACCAGCTTGTTACAGCAGCAGCAGAAGACCACTCCTGACTAAGAACAGTCTCACCAAAACTGGATGACAGAAGATTGGAAAAATGTTGCCTTGTCTGGTAAGTCTTAATTTCTGCTGCAGTATTCAGATGGTCAGAATTAAGCATAAACAACATGAACGTATGAATCCATCTAGTCTTGTATCAATAGTTCCCACTGTGGGTGGTGGTGTAAAGGTCTGCATGAGTATTGTTGCTGATAATGTCCATCCCTTTAAGACCACAACGTACCCTGAACATGGCACGTCACAAAGCTCACATTATCCAACCTGGTAGAAAGTTCTATCTAATAAAGTGGTCAGTGAGTTTATATTTTTCCTACCTCTACCACTAAAAGGTGGTGGTAACACATAGAGAAGCTGTTTTTGGACTACTGTTTAACAATAAAAAAAGAAGAATGTGTTTCTCTGCTAACTAACAGACCCCAGACCAATAAAATGTGTGGGCCACAGCGAGAGCCATTTAACAGCTTTTAAAATGAACAAAATTACATCCAGCGTGAACTCCACCAGCTTAAGATAGCATGCTGCAAGTCTATCGCAACTATGGCCAATTATATTAGAGGGGTGTTAAATCTTCAAAGAATAATGATGTTACTTGAAATGCCCATCCCTAGTTTACAGGGTCATTAATCTAAGACACTATGAACCTATAAAGTGTGTAAACACTGGCTACTGCAATTTATAAGGTTATTTTATTTATTTGTCCTTTCTAAGAAGTCATTATAAACTTTCTAACTGCCAAAAGATTAACATTACTGTTTATGTATAGAAGTAGAAAAAGACTCGACTGAAGGACCGACTGACTTTTTTTTAATCTCATCTTTTTGTTTAGTACTTTCTGTTCCCTGTGTGACCATGTCCCATTTATGAGAACAAGAACGGAAGACATCAGCGCATTCACACTGGCAGGGAAGGGAAAATGGCCCAGGAAAGGCAAAAATGAGGACACAGGACAGTCAGCACCCAAGGGTTACGAAGAACTGTTGAGTCAACCTTCTGCAAGACTTAAGGTGTCCAACAGCTAGCTTTAAAGCCAAACAGACACGTGAGATTTTCTCTTTTACAGTGAAGTTTGCATCGTTTCACTGCAGCTCAAATATCATGTTCCTGAGTAATTCAAGGTCATGATGTTTAAATTACAATATACTTAACTGTCAGACAGTTTAAAGCTATGAAATGCCAAAGACTAACAATAAATATATTTAAAATTAAGAAACATCTGGGGTTTTTTTTTTTTTAATTATAGCATACAATAATTCAGTAGTATCATAGATGTTGTGCATATTCTCCAAAGTATTTGTCTATTTTCAAACATTAACAAGAACATAAAGAAAATAAAGCCTCCAGTAAAACAGAGAGAAGGAGGAGGAGGAGACACTGATGGCCAAGATCATTTGAAAGTATTTATAGAAGTGGACCAGGACAGGACTTCCACAAGGGACGCTGTAGCTACAACGCTGCCTGAACAAAGACAGGAGGAGAGGTAAGGGATGCCGAGGGGGGGGGAAGAAAAGAAAAAGACAAGAGGAAAGGCTGTTAACGGCTTGCAAATACTGCAAGCAGTTAGCAAAAATTGGTATATGAAATAATTGGAGAGGGAGAGATATTTGAGTGTCTGCTCGAATTGGCCAAAGCTATGATAAGGGCTGGAAATGTAGGGTTTTACCCCCACCCCCCTAGCATAATCCACAGAAAAGACGTAACATTAAGAAGTCTGGTTTAATTGTATAAGTACACAAAGTACAAGGAATTTCCAGGCATGCAGGGAAAACTATTTCAAACCAACTAAAGCAAACCTCTAGCAAGTAGCTAGAATTTCTTAAACCCTAATGCATGCATCCTAAATGTGAAGTCCAACTAATCAAGTCAGACGTATCTGCAAACAAATACACACTGCATTGTCCCCTCAAATGACCTAACTGCACTCAATATCCTGTGACTTACTCACACATACTGTAGTCTCCTCCCTGCAGCATTTAGACCAAACCAGGGAGTCACTTAGCATAGCCAATTTTAACCTGCGCCACGATACATAACTCACGCCTGACACCCCGATAAACATCTGGGTCAAACTGCAGGATATCCATCTTATCTCCGAGACAAACAAGACATACACTGATCGTCCTGACATCATACTATATACAAAAGCAAAAAAAAAAAACCAACAACACACACACACAGACAGGATGCTGCTGTACAGCTGCTCCTCATTATTGCCTGCAGTGCCTGCCTACTTGTCAATCCACCATCAATCATTAGGTTTGATGTGTAAGACACGGGCATTGGATTTTGCATTTTTAAATGTCTCAGCCAGACTTTAGAGACAGATCTGGAAGAACTGTTAGTAATGAATGACTGGTTCATTTTGGAACAAATTAACGCACAATCGAATGAGCAGATTAAAGAATTAATTTGTCGTTTCCAAATGCTGCAACTCGACTCGTAAAAGATGACAAGCTATCAGCAGTTTCATTTAGTAATGCTGTGGTTTTGTATCACCCCCAATCCCTGCCCACCCCACCCCCCGCCTCGCTTCCTCCTCCTTCCCTTCTGCAGAGCTCAGGCTCAGAGACGGGTGGGGTAGCCCTGTGGTGAAGATGTTTTTAATCTGTGATTTGGGGTGAGCAACATGACTGATGAAATACTGCCTGCCCCCTTAGCTAAAAACACCTTTCCTGCTTAGTCATATATATATATATATATACACACACACACACACACACACACTTTAAGCTCCTTTGCCTCGCACCAAAACACTATCCCTCCATCCAGACAAGTCCTCACAAATTCTCCATCACTCTCTGCCACAATCATTCTCCACACAAGGCGCAACTGTTTCTATACGTTCTGCTATAAATCGATAAAAAGGGCTCGCACATAAGATGTATGGAACCAAATTCAATCTTCTAACCTTGTGGCAGAAACACACACACGCAAGCTAAACCACTTCAGCTTTCTCTTGACAACTGTTTCTGTCGTACAACCAAGAAAGATGACAATCTCATTCGTTTAAGCATTTACAGTACTCTCTGTGCCCACTGTCATTTCGGAGAAGAAGAAGGGAAATTTTTTTTTTTAAAAATCACGAGTCGCTTACATTGAAGCCAAGATATTAAAACTT